TGATACTGAACTGACACGAAGCAGAGATCATAATTGTGAACTAATTCAATCATGAGCTTGTCAGCATCGCTTCTTAATTATTAACATTTTTAAGTGAATTTTCATTTTTATTATTATTCTATGTTTAAGTTTGAACATCCATCCTTTGGTAAGAGTAGTAGTCACAATTTTTAAATGTAGCCGACTTATTTGGGGGATATCAAATTCATAAATTAGTTTCCACAAAGAACCCAATTGTTCACTTTTAAGACGTTACTGCGTACAAAAAGTATTCTCGTCACTTCATAAAATTCAGATTGAACCACTGATGGCAGATGGACTATTTTGACGATGTCTTTCATACTTCTCTGGGCCTAGACAGTGTTATTTACTTGGCAGTCAATGGGACTGTCACAAGCCTCCTGGTTTTCATCCAAAATATCTTAAATTGTGATCCGAAGACGAACAAAGCTTTTAAGGGTTTGGAACGACATGGGGGTAAGTGATTAATGACAACATTTTCATTTTGGGGTGGAGTAACCCTTTAAGAATCGTCCTTCTTTTTCATATGCCTTACATATCTTCAAAACATGCTCTACGGTTTCCTCTATTAAACAGACATCACATAAACCTGTGTTATGTTTAATACACGCGTCACTCAGCGCAGGGGAAGATTAAAAATCATCTTTACTGCATCTGTAACTATAATTACTAATAATAATTATAATAATAATTGCTTCCATTGTCCTCATTTGTAAGTTGCTTTGGATAAAAGTGTCTGCTAAATGACTAAATGTAAATAATACTAATACTAATAATAATAATATATTTTGTGCTACACTTTTATTGAAGGTCACCCAATGTAGAACGTATAGACAGTTTAGATGTGAATTTTATTACAACCCCTTTCCAAGGATTACCCAGACTGTTATTAATATAGAGATTGTTAAAATAAAACATTAAAATAAATACATTTAAGCTAAAATGAATTTATTTATTTATTGTTTGTTTGTCTGTTTGTGTCTGTGGTATTATGCACATTAGCAAGACTTTGAGATTCATTGCTATAGCTTTTACTGTCATTCAGCTCTTAAAATGCAGAGACAAGTACAGACATCTATGTGCAACGATTGTAAAGATTCCATCGTATGTTATGGTGAGATATTTAAGTGCTATCTGGAATTAAGTTTTCTGACAGGCTGCATCTTCTAGAAGGTTTTCGTGATGATGGGGTGTGCTCTCCTGACACTGCTCGTTGAATGGTTGTTAGTAAAGTGCTTGAGATTGACAGTCTTCACACATTGCAAAGTCATCTGGACAGACAGAAGCAGTGCAGTTCTATCACCAGGCGGTGATGCAGCATGTCAGGATACTCTCAGTGGAACACTTTAATCTTAAAGGGGGTGAGAGAGTCCAGAAATTGCTGTGCTTTTTTTTTTTTTTTAAGCATGAGGTGAAGGTTTCTGGAGGGTTTTGAGGAGTTGTGCACAGTAAGAAACAGAAAACTGAGCGCTGATTGCACTGCTGATCGATCAAGTGTGGGTGGACTGAGACCTTCCAAGTCAATAACCATCTCCTCTGCCTTTTTTCACGTAGAGAGACTGGTTATTGGCCTCACGTTTGTAAGGTGTTCCAATTCATCCCTGCAGGCCATGGATCTAAACCCTTTTAGACTCAAAGGCCCCCCACTGTCAAATACAAGATTTGAAGGCCCTCTCATCCTCCTAAAGTTGCATAAGTGTTCCTTTGAGAGTATGCTGACATGAAGTAGAAGGTGAAGTATTGATGATAAAAAAGGAGCAGAGCTTGGATATCTTAGATGTGTATGTTTCAATGCTCAGACTTCATCTGACCAGCACAAATCCAACAAGTGTTATTATACCACAAGCAATAGCAATGGAAAATTACAGCTTCACAACATCACCCCGTGATGTTAAAAACCTTAAATGGAGACATTCTCTTATCTCGTACTCATGAACACAAATATCCCTCGAAACCACACAATCGTAAGACTAAACAAACAAGCAAATAAATAAATAATATGCAACTAATCAATGACTAAATCAATGAAATTAGTATATAAATGGTTCAAATGATTATTATAAATATGATTAAATGGAATAATAAAATGACTAAATGATTATAAATGAATGAATGAATGAATGAAGAATAAATAAATATAAAAGAAAGAAAGTAAAAACACAAATGTAGTTGCTTTCTTGAAGCAACACACAATGAATCCTAAGATGCTTCAGCCATTACATGAAAATGATTATAATATTGTATGTATACAGTACCACATCCAGATAGACAAAGCCAGAAACACTGGGAATTTCCTGTTGGGACTTGAACACATGCACGTGCCGAGCAAATGTCAAAAGAAGAAAGGTGATATTTGATGCATTTCAAGTGTACCACTGAGCATTTCCCTGAAAGATGGTGAGACAGATTTACAAACCTGTTTTTTTATTAAAAAACCTCTGAACCATGAAACCTCACACTGAATGCATAACTTGATAGTACAACGCAAGATTGAAAAACTCCCGGCTTAATTTACCAGTTGCACCAGTTTAACCTCTTCTGTCCAAAGCAAATATTTGAACCTAACATGAATATGCACACATTTTAATTAGTAAATGCCTTAGATTCTTCCCAGCTTTAAAGGAAGCCAATAGCAATTGGGCGTCTTTGACAATAACTATTGAGTAAAACCATTAAAACACATCCATGATGTAAGCACTGTAATGCTTCAAAGAGAATCCAGTGGTAAAATCTAAATATTTTTTTATAAATCAGGTATGCTAGAGTATTGCTATACTGAGGGAAATACCTGTATACTGGTTTCATTTTTATTCAAACAAACAAACATGCTGGTGATGTACTACACTGACTGCAATCTTGAAGCTAGGTCAACCATTGTTAACACAAAAGCCCCACCTGCCAGGTCAAACTAGTTATACAAAATTCGAAACAAATTAGAATTTGAAAATTAAAAAAGGAACCTTTCATTAGGTAATGAACTCAGTGTCATATTCTCACAAGCATGATTTGTATATTTAAAATGTTGTAATAAACTTATGTTGCATTTCTACTTGCATTTTATTTATTTCGATTATATTACTGCTGTGATCCACGACAGACTGCCATGATTTTTTATTAGTTAGCCACTCCATTATTAACATTAGACCAATTAATAATAGACAACTACATTTCAACTAACGACAATTTACAAATGATTTATGGAATTATCTGTAAATGGCAAATGTTTAAGCTTTTATTAAATATTTTTAAAAAATATATATGTTTAATTTGAACTAGTATCCTTTGTTCCCCATGTCCCTGCTTCTCATTGTTTATCATAGCTACTGATCTGGCTCCCCTTTGTTATTGATTCATTTCACCTGTGTCTCTTGTTTCCTTTGTTGGTACCTTGTAAATATAATGCCTGTGTTTGAGTAATTTTGGTCGGTTCTCATTAATATATTGTTTGATTGGTGTTCACGCTGTGTGTTCCTGTGATCTGATCATTTTTGGATAGTTATAAGTCTATTAATTTATTCTGCTACGTCTTTGTGAGTGCTGGCCAGCAAAATGTGACAGAACTTTCTCAATTTTTATAATTAATGTGGGTGCTCTTCTTCATATTTCATTCACACAAGAATTCTACAGCAGCATTAGCTCATACACACACATTGTCAATACACACAAACACGCATGTGGGATTTCCACGCTTTTCTTTTCTGAGCAAATTACAACTGGTTCAAATTTCAGCTCTCAGCGGAACGTAATGTGAATTTTTGGAATTTTACAGAGCAGGTCTGTGGGGGAATGATTTAGAATAAAGGTATGTTCGGCTGGCATTTGGAGTTGATCCAGTGACACAATTGTTTGACACCTTTTTGTGTACTCATTTAGAATGAGCCAGCCTCCTTGCATGCTTCTCTTACTTAAACCAGAATGACTGTCAGATTACTTATGCATTTTCCCTTGCTGTCAAGGGGAACAGATCTCTAGGTTTACAGGTGTGCTCTGTCAAATTGTATCATGTTTCTACCAGACTTTTACTGGCCCTTAATGGGTTTTCTTATTTTGGCCGGTTTTGGGTCTGCCTGCGAATACTCACCAGGCATATGTGGGGCCTGGGCAGATGGGGATATACGGATAGGAGTGCTCAGTTCCTGCCATTCTAAAGTGCAGACACTACATGTGCGAGAACGTCCCGAAAAATACAACTGCACACAGTGAGTTTTTTTTTATATATATATATATATATATATATGTACAGACATTTGTGCTTGTGTGTGTTACCATGCAACCTAGAATACTCTGAGTATTGATTTTCCATCATTTAAATGTACATTTTATTTGTTGGAAAATGTTACTTGTTGGAATGTAGTAACTAAAAATCTGTAACCCAACAAGTACCTTTGCTGCAAGCTTATTTGTTAATAATGTTAATAATACTGTACAGTACACCAAATGCCACTTGATTTATGTAATTAACAATAATACTATGGTTTAAATTCAATAATAAGATATAATATAATGAATAATTATTGCTAATTTAATCATTAGTATTATTAAACTGGGATGAAACATGCAGATGGTTGCTCTGAGCACAACAAATATCAGATGGAGTCGTACTGTTTTTATCCACTTTTAACTTAAATACTTAGTATGTCCACCTTTTGCAGCAATTACAGCAGCACGTCTATCTAGCATAGTGTCAGTATTTTTCCTAAAAACTTCAACACTATGTTATCCCATGCCTTCTGCAACTCAAGCCAACGGCTTTCCTTTGAATGTACAATAGATCTGTCCAGTTTATTTTCCAACTCGCCCCAAATTTGCTCGATGGGGTTGAGGTCCAGACTTTGGGCCAGTCCATCATTTTCAATGTTCCAGCAGATTCTTTCCATCGCAGGTAGTTCCAGCAATAGTTCGCTTCATGGGTATTGTAATGGTCAATTCAACAAAACAACTGAAACCTCTTAAATATGCCACCACTCTGTATATACTGTATATACGTATATATACACATATTCCTTCACCTCCTCTGTACGCTTACATTGGGTGTATTTGTTTTTATATGTTAACCCGTAATGAATATTAATTATAATAATAAATTCTGACATTTACAAAAGTGTAAATAAAATGAACCTTAAATGTGTTATTGTCACAATTGTTACTGCTGTTCATCGTAGCAAACAGGCAATATACAACAGGCCTATTGACATTGCAACTAGGATATTTTAATGTAAAAGAACAGCTAGAATAAGCACATTTATATCAGCTTAACTGAGAACTAGTAAATTAGAGTCAAATCAAATCTGAAAATCAGTCAATATTAAGCCCTATTAATTGTTCGTGGAGTGATTGTTATAAACTGTACAAAACTAGGTTAAAGGGGTCATATGATGCTTTTTTAAAGATCATTATTTTGTGTATTTGGTGTAACAGAATATGTTGACATGCTTTAATGTTCAAAAAACACATTATTTTTTAAATATTGTACATTATTGTAAGTCCTCTATGCCCCGCCTCTCTCAAACGCTTCGTTTTCTACAAAGTCCCTCTTTCCGACAAGCGCAGTCTGCTCTGATTGGCCAGCTGACCCAGTGCATTGTGATTGGCCGAACACCGCAAGCTCTCGTCGGAAATGTAACGCAACCCCCCCCACCACCATAATCGCAAGATTCATCTTTCAAAATAAATGTAAAGACAGAGCCCAAAAGGGGAACAGAGTCGCGTGACAGACACAGTGATGAAGCTGGTATGTGTGCAGTACACAAGATATACAAAAAAATAGTAAGAATCTATTTCTTAGATTAGAAAGTTGAATATGCTATTGTTTTAATTTCTAATCAAGATTTCCCTCATTTTCTTTGTAGATTAAATCTCATTTCGCTTGTAAGGACTCTAGCTGTCGTGCATACTATTGAAACGATCAATAACTCCAGCTTCCTCCCCGGTGTGCGACTGGGCTACTACATCTGTGACACTTGCTCTGATGCATCAAAGGCCATTCAGAGCACCGAGCAGCTTCTCGCTGTGAATGGCACACTGCCTGTCCAATGTGAGTTGCTTGAAAGGCCTAATGTAAAAGCAATCATTGGAGCACGTTTCTCAGAAGACTCTCTGGCAGTGGCTCGGCTTCTGAGTCTATACATGGTCCCACAGGTTAGTAACGTTATGTTCATTTAGGGTGAATCTTTAGGTAATTTGATTCAGGGAGTCAAAATCGATTCTTGATGAATCTCAGTTTTGTAGCGACAGCTGCAAAAAAACATCAACAATAAATATGTCTTACCTTTTTTTCTCTCTCTCTCAAAACAGATAAGCACAACATCATCTGCACAAACACTTGGTGATAGGGTGCGATACCCAGCATTCCTGCGCACAATACCCAGTGATGTTCACCAAACCAAAGCTCTGGTTAATTTCATGAAATACTTTCACTGGGACTGGGTTGGCGTAGTCTATGGGGATGATGACTATGGGAAAAATGCCTTACAAAGTTTCTTAGCTGATTCAGAAGTTGCAGATATCTGTCATGCTTTCAAAGAAGTGTTGCCTCATTACCTAGCACACAATGAAATCGACAAAAGGATCCAAGAGGTGGCAGAAACAATCCGCTTATCCGAAGCTAAAGTTGTGGTCCTTATCTTAAAGGAAGAGCTGGTCTCTAAACTGTTTAAGGAGATGATTCGGCAGAACATCTCGCGTACTTGGATCGCAAGTGATGCTTGGTCAATGTCACGAAATATATCTCAAATGGAGGGAATCAACCAAGTAGGTGACATTTTTGGGTTCACTTTCATCACTGGTCCCAATCCCGGTTTTAAGGAGTTTTTGCAGCAGTTGACTCTTTCTCCGGGCTCTGTAAACCTCTTTCTTGAAGAGTATAAGCAGTTAGGGAAAGATGCTGGTTTTCTAACAGAAGCTGTTGACATCAGCATGACCTACGGCGAAAGATTAGCTGTATGGTCCATTGCTCATGCTTTGAAACATCTTCTAAACTGCAATGAAACTGATTGCCCTGGAGAACGGGATTTTCCACCATGGAAGGTAAGTAAACTGTTTACGTCCAATTTTGGAGATAGCTTTATACTAACATGCATAACACAGAAGCAAGTGATCTTGATATAATTTCTATATACATTATTGCAAAACTTGGAATTTTACTTTATATACATATTTTCTTTTGGAAAGCTCCTCAAGGAACTGAAAAAAATAAATTTTACTATGGAAAATCAAACGTTCTATTTTAATGCATCTGGAAATTTCATAAACGGATACGATCTAATAAACTGGCAACCACAAGAGGCAAGTGGTCAGAGACGCTTTGTTGTTGTTGGAAATTACAATCTGACAAAAGGAGAAGTTCACATTAAGGCACCCATAATATGGAGTAATCCAAGCAATACGGTGAGAATAACTATAGAACTCATCAGCTATATATTGAATCACATAAAATCATAAAAAGGTGCATACCCTCCTGAAAGGACCAGCACACATTTCCATGCTGATCCAAGCACAGTATGTTGATCACCAACAAAAGATACTTCAACCAGCATGGTTTTTTTGGGTTAACCAAAGGGTTTTCGGGGTATCTTGTTGGATAAGCCACCCAGTACATCAGCTTGAAAACATTATTCCTGGTCTTTTCAACAGGGTATTATTACATATTGCATATAAGGACTATGTATTAACCACGCTTCCATGCATGTTATTCTAGGTTCCTGTTTCCATGTGCTCTGCTATTTGCCCTCCTGGTACAGCTAAGAAACTCCTCAAAACATCATGCTGCCATAATTGCACACAATGTTTAGAGGGTACTTACTCCAATGGAACAAGTAAGTAATCAATTGTAAGAATATGGTATTGTTAAAAGGTGGAGTTTTTATCTTGTTTAATTTTTCACTAGAAATTAGAATTCGAGCCAGTAAATGCACAACTGATGTAAAAATGTACTGAAATGAATGATATTTTATGTTTCAACCACATATGTCAGTAGAGCCAAGAATTCAGTTGCGTAACTTGTTTAATGTTTTTTAAGGGAACATACTGTACATATTATGAGATATTTAAAACTTTTTTTGATTGAAATATACCTTCAAATCAATTTTGTCTTTCTTTTAGACTTACCGAATTGTCTTCCTTGTGAAAATGATACCTGGTCTTTGAAAGGATGGAATTCCTGTAAGCCAAAGGAAGAGGACTACTGGAAATGGGATGGGTCCCATGCTATAGTTCTACTTACATTTACTGCAATAGGTTATCTGTTGTTGTTGTTCACCCTTATCATCTTATTGGTCTTTTATGGAAAACCAGTCATGAAACAGGCAGGGGGAACCCTATGTTTTGTAATGATGGTAGGGTTAGCACTCAGCTATACTAGTGTCATATTGTTCATTGGCAAACCCAATGTTCACATTTGCAGGGGTCGACAGATCTTGTATGCCTTAGGGTTCTCTCTCACAGTTTCATGTATTTTGGTTAAAGCTCTACGCACCTTTGTATCCTTTCTTCCGCCATATCGCCAGGAGCAAGCTAAAAGGTTTTACAAGCCCCCTGTCATCATAACCTGTGGTACTCTCATTCAAGTCCTCATCTGCATCTTGTGGTTGATATTTGATTCTCCAGCTGTAGAGGCATTTCAATCTGACCAAAGCATGATAATTACCGTACAGTGCAATGAAGGTTCTGGAATTGGATTTGGCATCATGCTTTGCTATATTGCACTGCTAGCATTTGTCTGCTTTTTGATGGCCTTCAAAGGGAGAAAGGCACCTCAGGCTTTCAATGTGACTGGACACATCATCCTAAGCATGCTAATTTATCTTTTTGTGTGGGTCTGTTTCACCCCTGTATACATTGCTAAGGTCAATGAGCGCTATTCAATTCAAGCAGCTGCCATCTTGGTGTCATGTTATGGAGTTATTTTATGTCACTTTGCACCTAAATGGTACATGGCTCTCTGTAAGAAGAAAGAACAGCTTACTCGAGAGGCATATATTGCAAGAGCCAATAATCACATCGACTCAGTTGACGTGATCCCAGAGATAACACTGGAACCTGGTTTTATAATGGGGTCACAACATACCATTAACTCAGTTGATACTGGTTTGGGTTCAATTAATTTAGAATTCCCTTACCAGACATTACGGAAAAGAACTAGGAGCAAATCCATTTAATAAGTGTACACACATTAATGTTAAAAGGTTTATTTCATGACAAATCTAAATTTATTTAACATAACTTAAAAGAACTAGTGGATTACTGCTGACATTATTATTATTTTTGTAAATATTAATTAGTAAACTGGCAAGAAAAACAATATACCTGCAACTTCCTAGGATTGTAATATTAATGTTATTGCATTACTTATGTTGGTGAAGGTTAATAATGCATTCATAAGACATAAAAGCAAACATTATGAATTACATAACACTCACAACACAGCACTCTTGTTTGTGTTTTATTGCTTAATTATGAGCAACTTGTATGTAATATGTTAAATGTAATGTCTTTTTTGTTGCAATATAATCTGAGTAGCATTTGGACATGAATAAAGGTAAACTCTCCAATAAAAGACAATGCCCTTTCTTGACTACACATATGGCTTGAGGAGGTCGTCGTGAGATCCAGCGATTACATTAATACATTGTTGTGGTGCATAGCTTCAGCTGCCTGCACAGAACCTGTCAATCAGGCAAGAACAGGAAGGGGAAGGCAATCCCCTCTCTATCATTGATGTCAGAATGCCAGTCAGCAGCTATAGCTGAATATGGGTTCTTGTGTCACTGTGCTAATACAAAAGTATTAAGGGGAGAGAACAAAAGCATCAGATCCTAAAAGAGAATCAGAGCTCTGCAACTGTTATTACTATCACTTCATTTATTAAAGGGGTCATATGATGCGATTTCAATTTTTCCTTTCTCTTTGGAGTGTTACAAGCTCTTGGTGCATAAAGAAGATCTGTAAAGTTGCAAAGACTAAAGTCTCAAATCCAAAGAGATATTCTTTATAAAAGTTAAGAGTCAGCCACACCTACCCAAAATGGCTCGTTCTAACATGCCCCCACATATCTACATCACTATGTGGGAAGATTTGCATAACGCCGCCCAAATGTCCACGCAAAGAAAGAAGGCGTAACTTTTATTCTCGCTGTAGTATTGTTGCCACCGTCATGTCGTGAAGGCACTGTGTGATTTGTTGTGAATGCGAAACTACTTTGTTTGGATAACGATAGAAAGATAACGATATCTGCTCCGTCATGCCTGGAACTGATCTGTGCTGGTTGCTGAGGAATACTACAACTTTGCGCTGTGGCTCGCCGGATCGGCTTTCACCGTGGACGAAACGGAGTCCAGCCCGGGGTCGTCTCATGTGGTGGACGCTGTGTTTCTTTGTCAAGTCAAGTCAAGTCACCTTTATTTATATAGCGCTTTTAACAATACAGATTGTGTCAAAGCAACTGAACTGCATTAATTAGGAAAATAGTGTGTCAATAATGCAAAATGACAATAGTAAACACTCATTTTTCAGTTAAAGACAGTTCATCATTCAATTCAGTGATGTCATCATCCAGCTCAGTTCAGTTTAAATAGTATCTTTGCAATCAAGTCAACGATATCACTGGAAATGAAGTGTCCCCAACTAAGCAAGCCAGAGGTGACAGCGGCAAGGAACCAAAACTCCATCGGTGACAGAATGGAGAAAAAAACTTGGGAGAAACCAGGCTCAGTCGGGGGGCCAGTTCTCCTCTGACCAGACGAAACCAGCAGTTCAATTCCAGGCTGCAGCAATGTCACATTGTGCAGAGGACTCATCTGGTTCCTGTGGTCTTGTCCCGGTGGTCGTCTGAGACAAGGTCTTTACAGGGGATCTGTATCTGGGGCTCATCTAGTTGTCCTGGTCTCCTGGTCTACGCTGTCCTCGTTGTGAAAGCGAAACTACTTTGTTTGGCCTTCCAAAAATGGACACGACTAGAAATCAGTGGTTAAGTTGTATTTACAATATTGTTCCTGAACACTTCAAGCCAAATATTCAGATGTGGGCAGCACATTTTATGGAGGACCGTTTCCTGATCCTGGGAGAGTAGACTACAATGCTGGCTGTTCTGACTCAAAGATTAAGTATGTTTTTTATATTTAAAGAGTTTTTATATTTTATATATTGTTAAAACAGTCAACGTGACTACAGTGGTTCTACAATATTGTTATGAAGCGACAAGAATAATTTTTGTGTGCAAAAACAAAACAAAAATAATGACTTTATTCAACAACCTCTTCTCTTCTGTGTCATTCTCATACGTTGTTTACGTCCAGCGCTTCCAGGTTCTACGTCAGAACGTCGGCTCATTATTGGATGGCTCCGTCATCAACATCACACGCATGGGTCGCGCTGCTCACATGTGCAGCTTTGGCCAATAATGAGCCGGTGATCGGACGTAGAACACGGAAGCCTTCACTGTGCTTACTGCGTTAACCCGTGTAAGGATAATGACAGGGAAGAGAAGAGATTG